AATTACAAAAGGATTAGAGACATGAGCCACTTAACAATAGTAAGAGTTTTTATTTCTTGAATTTTGAATTGTGTCGTTATTGCAAAGGACTTAAGAAAGAATTGAGTTATATATGCTATCTTACTACTATTCCATGTGTATGTGAAACTCCCATATCGTTACCTAGGCTATTTAAAAAGTTGTAGATGAAAATATTTTTCTTTCCCCATAAGGTTGCCATTACAATCCAAATCTTTCAGGTTATTCGACTTAGGCTATTATTGCTTATGACCACAGATATGTACCTTTTTTTTCTTTAATAAATGAAAAAAATCAACTGAACCAGCAATTGTAATGGGTTCACTGCCGCTTAGAGATTTTAAATTTATAATTTCATACGATTTGACGATTAGTTTCGGGCATGAAAATGGGTTTGTTGTGTCGGTCGCCAAAACTTGCAAGAAACTACCAAAAGTGCGGAAATAGAACGAGCGAAAATTACAGCTGAACTGGCAAGCTATACTGGATAAATTCTTACTATTAACTATTGACCGGTAAGAAAAACATCTGATGGCATGATGCTGGGTGCAATTCAAACTAATAAATTGGCAGAAATATAATCAGGCCGATTCTGAACAGAAATTCCGTGGGAGTTTTCTCTCTTTTCCCTTTCCTCCTATCATGAATGAAAATTCCCTGAGGACTTTCTATATTAAATGGCGGAGTTGGGCTCTCAAAAAAGTGTCAAGCAGCTTCTTCGAAGCTCGAATTTCTCCCTCCCAAGTTTTCGGGGAAAATTCCACTCCCTGGTAACTGATTATTGAAGGATTTCTTTTTCGGGAGAAATGAATTCCCGGAGAATAAACTCCCCGGGAGTATTAAGAACTGATCTGAATAGTTCTGTTCGCTAAGCAAATGCCAGTAAGAATTAGCCAGTAACAAAATTCAGAGAATAAGGTATCTAGCTCTCCCAAAGAAACTTACTAAATTTTGCGCGAACAGGAATTAGCAAACATTTGCAAGCTTCACTGGCAGCTGGTGTCAACGGTTGCATTTCCAGCATAATAAATTTTTTAAATTATTCCAGGTGGAAAACAAAACAGGGCTTATACGTATATTTAGTCTTATTCTGACTTTCTTCAAAATGTGCTTCAATTTCTTTGTGGAAGTCACTGCCAGATTTCCTATATCGACAGTGGTGTCGACTGCCTTCCGATTACGCTTTTTCAGCCGAGTACGTTTCAAATCTTTGGAATTAATGAAATTAATTTAACAAACAAATATTTACATACATACTTCTTTCATTAGTAAATCGCAACAAATCGATTGTTCATTTTTAAATTTAACGAACATGTTAATTCACATTAATGTTGACAAAAATGCAACCGTGTGTCGCAATCCTGCTTGCAACGTGAATTTTCAACTTCCCCTCCAAATGAAATGACAAAATTGTGCTCTCCTTGCAAGTTTTACTTGGTTTTTGGCCAAACGAACACAATTGGGTGATAATTGGTACCAACTTGTACAAGTTTTTTGCATAGCGAACAGTCTTAATAAGTTAAGAAGTACTACTTTTTAGGAAATTGCTTCGAAAAATAACGAATTAATTAACTGTTAATAAAACTTGCAACTTCCTCACTCACAAAGAAAATGGTAGTTTACTCTCAGAAATTTTATTACTGGCAAGCTACTGGATATCTTTTTGCTAGAGAGTACAGACACACAACTTATGAATATGTATAAAGCATCTGTGTGAATTATTTCTAATCCTCTGTAGATCGTAATGCCAAATGTGCCCAACCACGGTTAGATGGTAGTTGTCAACTAGGTTGCGCTAATTAGACCTTTTCTTCTATTGCAGTTTAGATATAAAATGTACTGAGGTTTTGTATTTTTACATTTAGGAATTTGCTCTATTTGAATTTACCACAATTATGTATATACTCGTATTTCTTTCAGCTTCACGCGCCCCATAAGCATACATACATATGAACATTCAAACGATAAAAAATTAATATCATAGGGATGTTGTTGTTGTAACAAAACTAAACGTACCCCAAAAACTTTTGTGGGAATTAAATATCTGGAAATGTCACAGAAATGTACATGTACATATGTATATGAAATGTACATATATATATGCAATATTTTTTACTTAATTTATTCCTCTATTTCTTTGTAAAAAATATAGTTCATACTACAAAAAAAAATCTCTAAACTTTGTTCAAAACTCAAGAAAATTTAATAAATTAGCAACAAGTTTGCAACATTTTAATTTAACAAAAAAAAATTGTCGAACATTATACAGTTTTCTTCCATATAAAATAAATTGTATATATTCGTTATATGGAAGCAAATGGCACAAAACAAATTCTAAAAAATCAGGCGTAATTTTTAGGCATTTGAAACTTGTACTTTATTCCATGATAAAAATATAGCAAGGTAGAACCGTTCTCTCATTTTGTCGGCCATGATTTTTTTTTGAAGTTTGCCAACATTTTATCATCATATAAAAGTGATAATAAAAAAATGAAATTGTTCGAAATTGTTGTTGCTTGAGATTGAAAATGAAAATGTGTGTTTGTGAGTAAATTTAAAAATTAAATTGTTTGGAAACGTCAAGAATTTTAAAAGTGACTCTCTACCTTACTATATTTTTATCATGCTTTATTCTACTAGAATTCAATGGGCTAGAAACCTGCATAGTCAGAATCTATATAGGGGATTTTTTCAAATATTGTACAAATTTTGAAACTTGTATTTACACGGGTCTGGTTACAAAATTGACGATATTTTTGTACAAAAACAAACAAAAATTTGAATAACAAAAAAAAAAATAATAATATATTAAAACTTGTCAAAATGTGACGCGGCTATAATTTTTTCGACCACTGTACTTTATATGGAAGAAACTGCGTGCAAAAATGCCAAAAATAAACGCGATTTTTTACCAACTTCAAACTTGCACTTTGTTATACTATAATTTAATGGGCTATAATACTACATGCATGGATTTTTTGTAAAAATGTGATTAAAAAGCTGCAAGTTTATTAAATTTTCCTAAGTTTTGCAGAAAGTTTAGATATTTTATTTATTTTTGGGTGTTTCGTTGTAGTATGAACTACATATTACAAAAAATTAGAGGGAAAATTTAAAGTGCAAAATTTTGCATAAAAATATTGTGAAAAATTCCCTCTGTCAATAATTTAGTGCGGCACTCTGCATTCATACATGTAAATCTTAAAACTTATGAGCTGCTTGAAATCCAATTATGTATGTACTTGCCCTTGTTCGTAAATGTAATTTAAAAAAACTAATGAACGTATATTCTACGCCAGAACAAAGAACTCAAAAAACTACATAAATACAACTAAGCCAATCAAACAAAGTTTAATACGCACACAACAGTGTACGTGAAATGATGCTATAATAGTAAATAAAATATAAAAGTATTTCTTCAACTAAATGTCATTGAAATACATCCAAACATATACATACATAAGTGTAAGAAATCTTAATCGGCTACATATATACATACATATTTATTTAAAATTTTAATTGTGGATCTGTAATGATAGGATATCACTTAAAAAATCAAATCAGTTTAAATTACACACAGTGCATCTAGAATAATTATGTATGTATGTATTAAAAGCGAATNTTTTAATTGTGGATCTGTAATGATAGGATATCACTTAAAAAATCAAATCAGTTTAAATTACACACAGTGCATCTAGAATAATTATGTATGTATGTATTAAAAGCGATAAATGTACCTTTCTCGAATTTGCAGTTCAAAATTTGCAACATTTAAAACGCATTTTTATAAAACGTTATTTATGTATGTATGTTATGTAATAATTTGTGAATGTGTTTGGCACCTTTGAATTTCAGCCAAGGATGATGACAAAATTGAAAGCATGTCCTAATTTTATTCGAAATTGTATTGCAAAAAAAAATAAAATCCAAAATTTCAAATCGCATGCTTACATAAACATGTACATACATATGTATGTAAAAATGTGTACCCAGTAACTATTGCTTATTGACAAAGATAAAGTTCTATAAATACTAATATTAATACAATATGTATATGGGAAAGAGTTATATTAAATGCTGAGCATATACTGAATGAGATTTCTATATCAGCCGAATTGTGAATTTCAAAAAGAGTTGAACACAGATCAACTACTCGTACATTGATTGCTTCATTTACAAAAGCAAATTGAGGGATGTTGAGTAAGTTATTCAAACCGTATTTCGGAATAACCGCAAGCTCTTTTCGATATGCACAGCTCCGTTGGAAATGATAAAAATGTGAACATTTTCATAGGAGTATTTTAGAAATTCAAAGCAAGTGCAAGCAACAAAGGTGAAGAATTTATTAAATTAAAAATAGGCTAAAGTTGTAAGCTAAAAAAAAAAAACAAAAAATAGGTTACGATTATCTTGTGTTTGAGTAAACTTGCAAAATATTTCAAATATAACTTATTCATAGTATAGTATTTTTGTTTCTTTTCATGTTAAGGTAAATATAATACAGCGAAATTCCATTGTAAAAAAATTTTTGTTCATCATTTTTAGCTCCACAATAACGATCACATCAGTAGTGAAAGCATCAAGACCATCATAGAAAGGAAGAATCTACATGAATAAGCTAGAACGAGGTAAGCACAACGAATGAACAAATAGTTTGGCTTCAAAAAAAAAAATCGAGATATTTATTACATAGAACTTTTTTCAAAAGGGCGAAACATCTAAGCATGCATAAAAAATAAAATTCATCTGGTATTATCGCTGAAATTTCGTTTGCATAAAGCAGTTTTTAATTATTAAGCAATTTGTTAGAAAAAGAAAATTTAGTTATTTTATCGAATTTTATCTCCAAATAATGTGAGATTTTGGATGCAATATCAAATTATTGCCCAATTTTGGTATGCAATCTAATTATCAAATGCAAACATAGCGATTTTACGATGCACAGCATCTCTAAAGAATTGCAATTAAAATCTAGTTATACTAATTATTCTAACTTGCTTCGCATATGGAAAATCTATAGACTTATATTTTATTTCGAGTTTTTACGCTCTTTATCGAATACCTAAATAACCTAACTCCAAGAGCTTAAAGCTTAATACGAGTTCCTTATTATGTACATCTATTTATACAGCTAATGGTGAGCCACTCGTCACTACCATCACAGCAGTCACAGATTCCGTCATTTACACGGCTGCTGGGTACGAATAAGTCCACGCCGCGCCCAGTGATGTGTCGTTTTTGGTATTTACAGTAAAAGCGACCATTTTTGCATGCATTCGTACTGGGTTCATCACTTCCGTCATAAATGCAATCGCAGTAGTCGTCATTAACATGGTCGAACGGTACTTCAGCTCTACCATCCAAACATCGAAACTTTCCATCGAAGTTTGGCTTGTACGAATCGTAATCAAATAGTCGTATTCCACTAAAGCAACGAATTTATATATGTGGCTTAAATATTTTTATATCTAACTTACCGTATAATTTTAATGGAATCATCCGCTGTATTAGTGCCTTGCCCGCCACCTCCATCATCGTATCCATCAGTCTGTTTACGGCCGAGCGATTGTATCATTTCTCTATGTTTCTGACGAATTCCGTTCATAGTACCCTCCAAACTCCAAGGTGTACTTGCACTTGGTAGCTGATTTATTGAAAAAGCCTGATAAATAATAAACACTATACCTAATAGAAATACTCCCAATAACAGCATCTTCGTCTTTTGCTTATAGAATGGTTTATAGTAGATGTTTTCTCGTTTGACCCAAGTCTTTCGCATTGTGATGTGTTTTGCAAGCTGGTTTTTGATTACTGCAGGTATTTGTTTGCCTCTGCTATTCCAGAGGCCAACAGTATTCTAATTAATTATCCTAATAAAAGATGCAAATGTGTCAAAATTATTTTTGTTTACTTGACACGGCTTTTTGTTGAGTTGGACAGTGCTGCCGTGGCAGGGTTTACGC